ATCGTTCCAATTTTAGTATATGTGCTGCCGAAGCGAGCACATGTCTTTTTTCACCCTCCTGGTTTGCTAACCCTTTGCCTCGTCTCTCTACTCTTCTTTCTGCTTCTAAAACTCTTCCTTCCATTCTAAATCACTTTCTTTTTTCTCTGCCTGATTCCCTCATGTCTTTTCTTTCCTCTGTTGTTTCCGTCTCACCTTCTTCCAGTTCTCATTTTCTCCTTATTTCCGCTCTCCCATCACTTCCTGACTTCTGTTTGGGCGCAGTGGAAAGATCGGGGGCTCTGGTGTGAAGAGGTACCTGCCATTCAAGACCTAGTTCCCCCAAACCTAGCTGTGTGGTATGGGAAGGACCGCTTAATCTCAGCCTTTCCCCCCCCTCATCTGAGGATTAATCCAGATACACCATGAGAAAACATCACAGCACCCGCGAAGCAAAGCGCTTTTGTTGGAGACGGGTTTCTGCCTCTCTAGCAGCAGCTTCCCGAAGTTTGTTCAGGGTTTTCTGACTGCGCCCTTCCCGGGAGATCATCAGGGCGCCACGTTGGGGCGGGAGGAGAGAGCAGAGGGTACCAGGCGTGAGGCTCCACAGGCACAGGGTGCGGGCTCAGGTGAAGCGAAGCAGCAGCTAATCACAATCTGTCTCTGTTTCTATCTCTGTTCCCGTCTCTCTCACCGGCGGCTTGGCCAACCCTTCATCCCAACCCTCAATGGTAACCATGGCAACCTACTCGTTCAGCTGCACTGACGGCTCTGAGGCGCGTCCCGGGGGCGCGGCTCGTGCGGACCGCGCGTTGATTGGCCTACACAAGAGGGCGGGGCTGGGAGCGTGGGCTCGCGGGGAAGGGGGCGGGGCTGGCGCTTGGTAACTGGCAAGCTCTCCAATTTATTTCTGGGAGGCGGACCGCGCCCTAATTGGCCCTTAGACTGCAGGGGTGGGGCTGCTTCTCTGATTCAGAAATACTGAATAATGAATGAATAACTATACTCCTCAACACCAACCCGGGTTGGCCAAATTTCACAAATAAGACTCTAAAAGTCAAGAGTAATTCCCCCAAGTTATCAGCGACAGTAAAGGACAGAAGGGTAACTGGAACCCAAATCTGTAAAGTCTAGACCTTTCCATAACTCTCATGGAGAAATGGGATTAAAGTTATGTGCAGTTACCATGTGCCGGGCACTCCTGTAAATATTGCACCCGCATTGGCTCTTTGAAACTCACAACCCTGGGAGGAGCCTTACAGGCTTTTGGCTGGGGGGCCTGGTGGTTGGGTCTTGGCCTGCGCTCCTTCCATACCTTACTCCTTCTCTAGATGTCTTGACTAGCGTTTGAGGCTTTTCATGAAATGGTGCCTGGAAGTCTTCCCCTCTCCCCTCTCTTTTCCCCAGGAAATTTCAGCAATTCCCCCAAATGTCAATCACCATCCACAGGGAATCACACCTACACCCCCATCTCCAGACTGTGGGCTCAAGGCTGAGGGCTCCAGCCACATCTTGGAACCCTGACACTCACCCCATCCCACAGCGGCTGGGTGTTCCCCCAAACCCACTCCTCCTCCTGGGTTCCTGTTTTGGAGATGCTTCACTGTCTACCAGTCACTGGGTCAGACCCTCGTGCTGTCCTTGACCTTTCCTTTTTCATCCTCCTTCACAGCCATCAGTCTCTGTCTCCATCCTTCCCACTCTGCCTCTCTGCCCTTCCCCTTCTTTCCATCCACATCCCCAGTGCAGCTCAGGCTTCGTCCTCTGCCACCTGGACCAGGGCTCTAGCCTTCTCCCCACCTCCTGCCTCCAGCCTCACTTTGTATTCATCCCCTGTGCAGGATCGAAGCTCTGTCCCCCACCCATCATTGATTCTGCCCTTTCCCTGCTCACAGCCCTTTCTTGGGCACTTGGGATGGTGTCCAAAACCCTTCATGGGCTCTTGCCTCTCTCTCTCTCTCCTCACCACCTCTGTAGCTTCTTTCCTGGCTCCAAATCCCCCCCCCTTTTTTTTTTAAATCCCAGCAACATAGTGCTTTCTATAGCTCTCTACACACTGAGGCGCTTTCCCACCACCTGGTCTGCACACACACTGTTCCCTCTGCCTGTGACACCTTCGGTCGGTCCCTGCTCACTGCAACAAACCTTACTCATCTTTCAAGACTTACACACAGATGCCACCTAACTGGGACAAACTCTCTATCCTCCTGGGAGGGCGTAAGTGCATTTTGTGGGCTCACATGGAACCTACCGTTACCTCTATCACTATCTGCCTTTAAATAGGGGTGACTCTGACCCTCCCTTGCTCAGAACTCTCCTCATGAAGCCTCTGCAGTGCTGAAACTGTTCTATATCTTGACCCAGATTTTGCTTTCATGGGTGTTTACATATGCAAAAACTCATGCACCTGAGACTTTAAGATTTTGTCCATTTATCTGTATGGTTCCAACTTTAGTATATGTGCTGCCGAAGAGAGCACATCCATTTATGTGTACATAACTTACATCTCAGTTAAAACATAAGTAACCAAAAACAAGCAATAAAATCTCCCAGTGCTCCCATCATCCTTAGGAGCAAACCAACACTCCCCAGCCTGGCATTGGAGGGCCTGTTTTTCTACAGCTTTATCTTCGAAGGTCTAATTGTGGCAAACAAATGAGCAGGAAGTGATGAGTGAACAAATGGCACACTGGTCCATTTCCCACGGGCTGTTTGCACCGCACAGGACATCTGTGGGGTGAGCCCGGCCCACATCTCTTTCTCCCTCTGTCTGCCAGGAGGGTGCTCGGTCTCTGAGCCTCTCTTGCAGCTAAGAGTAGTCACAACAAGAGATTTTGGCCAGTGAGACATAAACACAGATCTGCTGCTGGCCCTGAGAAGGCTACCGCTTTTTCTTTAAAAAAGGTGCACCCTTCCTGCAGGTGCGACGTGTGAAGCTATGCCTGCCATCTCCTGAGCAAAAGGGAAGGGCCAAGAGAATCATAGAGAATCACAGCCCTCCTGGCCCCCAAGTTGTGGAGACTCTGAGCTGTGGGCCCACAGCTGTCCTTCTCCAGACTTGTTTCATGAGAAAAATACCCACCTAGTATTTAGTCCATTATTGGATATGTTTGCTATTAAGAAATGTAGTCACCAATATCAAAAAAACAAACCAAAACAAAAGACATCACCTAAAAACCCAGTATGGGCGTGTGGCTCCTGGAGTACTGTATCTGGGGTCCCCGAACTGGGGTGCTCCCAGGTAATGATGGCACAACAATGGTAATAACAGTAGAAAGAGTCCCGGGGCGTTCATTGACTAGACCTTACTCAGGGTGTCTCACACTGGGGGCGGCTGAAGGTAGCAGAGCTGAAGGTGGGGCCAGGTCGGAGGTGGGGACTGGCCCAGCAGCAAGACAGAGAGAAGCAGCAGCAGCAGCAGCCCCAGGACTGGAGCGGGGATCAGCGGGTGCCGGGTGACCCTGGTGGGGCGCAGTACAGAGTTTAGGGAGGGGCCAGGGAGCTGCCAGAGTCTCAGCGGTGGGCAATGTCCCCGTGTGTGACCATCACCCTCCCTTCCGGGACTGCCTTGGGGCACACCTGAGCGGCTGGGGGTGCAGGGGGGCCAGGCAGAGCTGGCCCCAGTCCGGCCTGCTGACTGGGACCAGCTCTTTCACCACGGGCACCAGGGCTTGCTGCAGATCTGGCTTGGCAGGGCTGCTAGGCAGAAAAAAGGATGGGGCAATCATGCCAGACTTTCCCCTACCTCCAGGTCCCTTCCAGTCCCCTAGGGTCCTGTTACCTTTCAGGAAGGCTTCCTGGAATGTCTCCAGGGTGAGGGTCTCCCAGAGGGATGGGGAGATTGGCCTAAAAGGACAAAGGAAACGGACTTGAGACACTGGCTCCTGGATTAGGAGAGGCCTTTGGTTTAGCCCAGTGGACAGAAGTGACTGCATGGAAGGGGTTGGAACACAGTGGCTCAGTGCCGTGACATACACCACCAGGTGGGCTTCCCAGCTCTGCCAGCTTCCACTGTATGTCCCTCTGGAATGTCACCCCACGTCTCCAGGCCCCACTTTCCCCATCTGGGCACAGGGTCATTGACATGTACCCACCTCACAGGGCTGAAGGAGAGTCTGCCTGAGGGAACACAGGTAAAAAGCAAAATAGTGGAGGGTGCTTGGAACAGTTTCTGGCACTGAGTGAGCACTGGGTAATTGTGTGTACTGTTCAATATTGCTAGCTCCATTTGCATCTGATTCTGGAAGGATCCAAGTTCCCAGAGGGCAGAGACCTCATCTTCTCCAAGAGTCTAACCTTGTGCTGGGCCTAGTCCAGCGTGGGCACTCTCTTTGGGTCTGTCTCCCTGCCTGTATTAGAACCTGCAGGTGCCTTAAGATTAAAGCCCCAAAGGGGAGCCTGGGTGGCTCAACTGGTTAAGTGTCCAACTTCAGCTCAGGTCATGATCTCGTGGTTCGTGAGTTTGAGCCTCTTGTTGGGCTCTGTGCTGACAGCTCAGAGCCTGGAGCCTGCTTCTGATTCTGTGTCTCCCTCTCTGTGCCCCTCCCCCACTTGCTTGCATTTCCTCTCTCTCTCTCTCTCTCTCTCTCTCTCTGTCTCTCTGTCTCTCTCTCAAAAATAAACTTAAAAAAAAAAGCCCCAAATATTTGTCCAGGGGCCATCTCATCTCCTCTGTTGCTCTCAGGCTTTCGCACCCACACTTTTGTTCCATGGATGATGCTGATGGCAATAGTAACAATAATAAGGAATAACAGGAACACCAGTCTCAGCCACCACCTTGACCACTGCCACCTAATGTACACCTGTTCTGCGCCAGGCCCTTTACACATGGTCCTTAACCCTCACCCCACCCTGACAGCTAGGTAAAGATCATTGTCAAGTCAGCTGTGAGGATAACTGAGGAGGGTACCAGTCTCCATGGAAGGGAGTAGGAGGTGGCTTTGGGGTCAGGCTGTTCAGAGAGACCACGTTGGATGGTCTGGAGCCTGAAAGAGCCCAGATACCAGGTGTACATTTGGGCTCTCACATTCCTAACTTGAGGACCCAGGCTCCTCACCCCTCCTCTCCAGGCTTCCTTCCTTCCCTTTCCTTGCCAGAGAATGGGGACTGTCACCCACACCTCACCCTGTGCCCTGCCGCTATGAGGAACAAAGCAGCGGGTGTGTGTGGTGATAGGCAAGGGGGCTGTGACAGGCGCTGTGCCCCAGGGAGTTCTGGGGCTGGCTGGGGAGGGCCCGGCCCCTTCCTGTGTGTGGGCGCATGTGCGTGTGCATTTTCGCATTCCGGGGGTGTAGCCACGTCTGTGAGGCCTGTGGCTTAGCGGCTGCAGCCCTGTGTATGTGCTTGGGGGGTCCCCTGGGAACATTCTAGCCGCCCACTGGCCTGCAGGCCTCCCCCCACAGCACTGTCCGCTCTCATTAGCTATAGCAAGGGCCTTGTTATCTCTTGGCCAAATGATTTTTCTGTCTGCTCAGGAGAAGTGGGGGTGTGGGGTGAGGGCTGGGAGGAGCTGCCCGTACATCAACCTCCTCCAGGGACTGGAGTAGGTAGGGGCTGGGGACTGCCTACCCTGACCTGGGTCTCTGCTTCCTCCTCTTCCTGTCTTCTGGGTAACCTGAGAAGACAAAAAAGTCACTGCAAGCATCTTCCCTCTGCCTAGCTTCCCTTTGCCCACTATGGAGCTGGATGAACCTTTAAAGCAGGGGTCTTAAGGCAGACCGGGCATCATGGATGAGCGTGGGGGTGTCCTGGAGCCCCGAGAGCAAACTGCTGTGTGTAGGTCAGCGTATGTATTTTGCAGGGGAATTTTCAACACGCTCTTCATACAACTGGTTTTCTCAGCCGCTATGTTTCCAGCTGATGCCTTAGCTGGGAGCCACGGCTTCTCTTCTCCTACTCTCCCGACACCAGAGACTCAGGGCTCTCCCAGACTCCGGGGCAGGTCCAGACCCCACCCCCCACTTTGTGCCTGGTGGGCTGTGCCACTTTTAGTGAGTCTCAGTCTTACTGGATCTACTTTTAGGACTGAGATTCCAGAAGCCAACTGTGTGAGCAATTCCCCCCACCCCACAAGTCATTCTCTGGGGTGGGCAAGCATCCACCCTCTGCTCCCCCGAGGGCTACAGCTCTCTGAAGTGCCTTTTTGGAGACTCAGACCTCAAGCTGTCTGGCCCAAATGCCCCTCAGAGACCCAGACGTCCACACCACCAGCTACCACCTCCGTTTGGGTTCAGGGATCCATCCTCCAGCTACTACCACTTTGACAACCTCAGGACACAGCTGTTTCTTCAATTAGCACCCCAAAGTCAGCTAGGCTGGTAAGCCCCCAGTCAGACACAGAGGTGTCTCATCCCCTGGGACTTCTACTTGGGACCCAGGTGGCTCCTCCCCCAGCTCCTCTCGGATCCGAGCCTTCACCCCTACCCATTGTTAGGGACCACAGGATTCACTACCTCCCTTGCTTCCCAATCTGTGAATCACACTGTCCTGCTCCTGGGAAACTCAGATGGCCAGCCCCCGCCCCTGTCGCTGCTCAGCCCCTTCTCCCCTCCCTCCCCTCCCTGGTGATGCTAGGGAAAGTCATAGCTCTGGAGCCCCCCTCCCGCCCAATCTCAGCTTTCTCAGAGGAGCCCAATTAGAGGCTGGTGGCAGGAAGCCTCATTAGCTGCCTCAGCGGAGAGCCTGAAAAAGAGGAGGGGGTGTGGAAGGCCCCAAGGCCAGGGCCCCGGAGGAGAGTGGGCCCAGACATCTAGTGCTTTCTCTCTCCTTGGAGGCCTGCATCCAAGCTTCGGAACAATCACAAGGCTGGGGTTCCATGGCCCACCACCCCATCACTAAGTCACCAAGCTGGGATTTGAACCCAGGCTGTCTGATTCTAGAGTCCCCAATTGTCTTGTAACTACATGGGTGTTCTCCCTTGACCCAATGGGTTTCATTCATCCCAGGGTTCCCTGGAGGCCTCGGGAGAAGCGTGTTCAGTGACCTAGTGACTGAGCTGTCCCATCTGCCTGACAACTGTCTTCTTGTCTGAGAGTCTCCTAGATGAAAATTGCTCCTACAGGACTCCATTCAAGCATTACCTCCCAGGGAAGCCTCCCCCGCAGGTGAAGTGTCAGATGTTCTCACAGAGCCAGCCAGGTCAGATGTCTGTGTCCCTCTAGGCTAGGAGATGCTGAAGGTAGGGCTCGGTGTGACTCATCCTGGGTCACAGGCCCAGGGTGGCCTCAGTGTGAAGGAATGAGTGAATGAATGAATGAATGATGAGCAGCTCCCCCAGGGCTCTTCCAGTCCTTGTATGCTATTCAAATTCATCCAAGAATTTGGTGTTACCTCAACGCAGGGGGATGGCTCTGGAAGGAACAAGCTTCTTACCACATCGATTGCTCCTTCCTTCCTCCTTGAGGGTGCGCTGGCTCTCCCTGGAAGTTTCTCTGTGGGAAAAGAACAGGTTAGGTCTCCCAGGCTGCGACATCTGCAAGAATTCACCACCTTGGGGCGCCTGTGGCTCAGTTGGTTGAGCGTCTGACTTTGGCTCAAGTCATGATCTTGCAGCTTGTGAGTTTGAGCCCCGCGTTGGACTCTGTGCTGACAGCTTGGAGCCTGGAGCCTGCTTTGGATTCTGTGTCTCCCTCTCTCTCTGCCCCTAACCCACTCGCATTCTGTCTCTGTCTCTCTCAAAAAGAAACAAACATTAAAAAAAAAAAAAAAAAAA